CACTGCGAGGGCGGCACCCCCCAATCGTACACGTAGGAAAGGCGCAGTTTCACCTCCTCCTTGCAGAGTTTCCCCTCTTTCACCAAAGTCTGGTGCTTTTCTAACATATCCTCGATGCTCTGCTTGTGGGTGACGATGAATTTATTGCTGCAGCCRCGCGATTTGTACTCGGTGTCGAAACGCGGGTCGTGAATTCTTTTRACATTTACAGGCGCCAACCACGCACCCAGGGAAACATCCTCACTCTGCCACAAATTCAGAAAATCCCTGCTGAGGCTCAGGTACCTCACCAAATCGCCGGAGATCACGTAGCCGCCTCCCAAAGCGTAGGGCAGGTAATAATCGCACAGCAGCCAAGCGTTTTCTTTCCATTTTCCACCCGATTTCACCCGCCCGCGCCCGGAGAAGAAGCCCCAGTAAAGGCGGCGCGGTTCTTTGGTTCGGAGTTCTTCCAACAACACGTCCAAACGCACAAAAGTGTCATCGTCAGCTTTGAGGGCGAACTGGAAGTCCAAATGCGAGTCCAGCCACACGTAGGTGGCCAGCACTTTGGCCGTCAGGTTCTCGTAGGAATCGCGCAGCTCCGGCAGCAGCAGAAGGTCGCGATGGCGGTTTTGCTCCAGTTCCAAACTCCGCATTTCTTCAGCGCTCAGCCCGGCCGTGCCCACCACGAAGCGGCTCCAGACGCGGCCGTGAGGGGTTTTTTGAGCGGCCAAAGCCATCCAAGTGGTGCGGATGATGCTGCGGCGCTCGCTGTACTTGGGGCCGCTCATCACCAGCACGGCCAGCAGAGCGCTGCCCTCAGCGCGGAACCCGCGCCCGGCGGGGCTGTGAGGCAGCGCGGGGGGAGCGGGAGGGGAGCGCAGCCCCTCCGAGGTGCATTTAGCCAGGTAGAGCAGCACGGCGGAGCAAAGAGAGAGCCCGCCGAGCCACAGCGCGGTGCGGTGCCGGCTSAGCCGCCTCAGCGCTGTCATGGCGGCGGCGTCCCCTCACGGCCCGGCGGGAACGGCGGCGCGGAGGGGACAAGATACCTGCGGGAGCGCTCACCGCGCTGAGGTGGTTTTTTCGGGAGTCGTTGGCGGTTTTCTCCGTTTCCTCCGGGAAGCGGCGGATCCGTTCCTGCTGCCGGCGTGGCTCCGGTGGTTCTGGCAGCGGGAAAAAGGGGAGGGAGGAGCGGTAGGGCTGACGCGGCGGCCGCCATGTCGGAGAGGGGCACGTGAGGCCAAAGA